GCACCAACCTTGTCACAAACTTAGCAGCTCGAGGTCGAGTTATTATTTCCTCGTTTTTCTAAGTGAGCTGTTGTGACGTGATGAGGTAGATTCTCGCTGGGCTGAAATCAAGGTGGCTATTGGTCAGGACCATCATCTTCATTTGGAGCTCAGCGTTGTTACTACTCAAGGTCAGTATTGTTGGCAGAATCTGTGTCCTCAAATCCATGGCTCACAGGCCCAGTGTTTCTGGATGGCTTCCATGCTGCTCTCCTTCGCTTTGGGAAGCCCACCTGGACCAAGTCCTTAGCAGGTCCAGAGGCAAGTACCGATGGGTGTTTGTGTCCTCAGGCCAGTCAGGGTGTGCTTGTGATTCTAACAAAATAAAACATTTTAGCCATAGGGAACATTAATTGAAATCTTGCGCTGGAGGAGGCAGGAAGACAAGTGAACTTTGTGAGTGATGGGCCGGGAAACAGGATGCTCTGGTCCCTTAGTCAGCTGGGTGGTTGAGAACAAACTGACTCTCTAGGCTGTAGCTAGGCCTTAGTAGTGCCATGTGCTCTGGGTGGCTGAGTGGAGCTTCTGCTAACTCTCTTAAAGGGGGAGCATGGACTTCTCTGGCTGACCCCCCCCCCCCGGGGTCAAGCTTTGGGGAGTGGGGGTGTTACTCTTCCTTGGGCTTTCTCAGAGACCGGTGTGCAGTGCTACACCTCTGGGCCTGGATTGAATGGGCCATGAGTGGTTGGCAGCATTGATTTTATGTTTATTTGTGAAGGAAAGAATATGAGATTACCAAATAAAATATAATTTCAAGAGTGTTAATGAAAGAATATATTACATTCACTTTTAATGAGATCCTGGTGTTGCAAAATGAGTCCATGTAATGAATCTCAGGAAATCAATGTGAAGTTTAATTGCAGCTGTGGCCGTGTTGTATAAGGACATTGCTCTGCTTGGTGTTACTTGTACAATTCATCAGTCCTCTCTTCCTTTCTCCTTAAATTAATTGCTTTGATGAAGCCAGTAAATACATTCTTTGTTGGCCTGTGATCCTTTCTAGAAAGGTCTTAGACATCCCCTATTCTACCACAGTAATGAGTGGTTGGTGTCATTTTTCTGTGTTATCGTTTATAATTAGTACATTCTAAACTTAAGCCCAAATTCTGTAAATCTGTCATTGTTACTTCCTCCTAAAGCCTTTTCCATTTCCTTTGTTAGTCTTTTGCATTTGTGTGTGTGTGTGTGTGTGTGTGTGTGTGTGTGTGTGTGTGTGTTTTCAGCTCATTGGATAGACTTGTATGTGAGTCAGAATTTTGAAGTGTTTTCTGTGGTTTCCCACCCAGTCACATAGTGGAATGAGTGAAAAAGACTGTAACACTTCTTTCTCTGGTTAAATCCTCTCTCTGTGTCTCTTTCTCTCTCTGTCTTGCTGGCCATGTACTCAGAGATGTGTCTGCCTCTCTCTCCCACGTGCTGGGATTAGAGGTGTGCATCACCACCTGTCTTTAGTTTTCTTAAAATTGTATGCCCTTTTCAACTTTACATAAGGTGGAGTCTTCAGGCTGTTTTTTGGATTTGGTGTTTCATTGATTCTAGCACTTGGTCAACTACTGTGATGGTAGCTGACTTCTGTGCTTTCATTTTGAATCAGGGTCTGTCTTTAGCCCAAGCTAGTTATCAACCAACTCTTGCACCTTCTGCCTTAGCCTCCCAAATGCTGGATTCCCGTCTTGTGCTATCATTACAATTTAAAAGTTGAACATTATATTTACAGATTTCTAAGTTTGTTCTTTATTTTGGTGTTTCTAGAGTGCACTAATTGTATGTTGATAATATTCTAATGGATTTTTATCTAACTGCTTTTGTTTGTGAGTAGTTTTTTGTTGTGGTTGTTGTTGTTTTTGAGACAGAGTTTCTCTCTGTGCAGCCAGCCCTGGCTGTCCTGGAACTTACTCTAGATCGGGCTGGCCTCGAACTTGGAGATCTACCTGCCTCTGCTTCCGGAGTACTGAGGTTAAACATGTGTATCACTACATCCTGACAAATAGTTTATTTTTGGTTTAAGGTTTAGGGCCTTAAAATAGAGTCACCAATTACTTTGACTGACTTATTCTATACAGGAAAGCAATCTGCTCGGTTTGCTTGTAAAAGTCTTTCTTCTCACATCCTCCCAGTGACATCATCAACACTTCGTCCTATCTGGTGGAAATCTTCTCATATAATTGAGAACTGGCTGGGTTTTCAGGACTGTCTTGGTTCTAGATGTCCCTTTGATTGTGTAGTAGGCGAGGAACCACCTGTCCTACCAAGATCTCCATCAGCTTGTACAAAACAAGGTGACTCTAACAAACGCCCATCTTCCAATGATGGTTTGCAGTTCATGCTGTGGAAACTGAAGAGGTACCTCCTGCAGGGCCTACTGCTGGATCAGCTTACCGGGAGCCTTAGTCTTTGCTCTGAAATGTCAGCCTTCTAGATGGCCCCTGAACGTGCTGCGGAGATGAGAGGCTGATTTTTCCCTTTTAGCGTGTGGGTGCATTGTCCCTACAATACTCTTTCCAAAGCCCAGAATCGCTGTGGAGTTGTCTTTGGAGAATAAATCATTACAGAACTTCCTCCAGAATGTTTCCTTTGAAGTAAGTGTTCTTTGCATTCTGAGCCTGCTGCCTTAGTCCAGGTGCTGCCAGGTGCTGCCACCACCTGATGTGCACCTGTTGGGACTTGCAGTGCTGGGTATGCTGAACAGGTGGGCTGTCTCCTGAGCAGAAGGGTTGTAGTGTGCCTCTGATATCTGACCTGATATCTAGCTTCCTTTGTCTCCTCATCTCCTGACCTGCCTGTCCTCTTGTAGCCCTTATGTAGCCTTGCACCTTCACCCCTGCCCTTGATCCTTGGCCACTTAGTCCTTTGCCTGTCCCCTCTGTTCTGGGGGGGAACTCCCCAGGGAGCATCAGTTGCTTTTTGCATTTGCACCCACTGTATCAAAGGAAGGCCCTCTCGCCCAAGAGGCATGCTGTTAGAGACTCTTGCTCAGACGATGCTATAGTTTGGATTTCTAGTGTTCTTCCAAAGCCATCCATTTTCAGGATCCCCTCCTCTCCCCCCATATACACTCACCCAGTAATGCTGCTGGGGGATAGAAGAACATTAAGAGGCAGGACCTACTGGGAAGTCTTTGGGGCTTTGCGTTTATGCCCTTGAAGGAACTTGTGGGAGCACGGCTCCTTCTTCTCTCTCTCTCTCTCTCTCTTTTATTCTGGCCATGTGTTGTAGTCTCAAGCCCCCCAGAGCAATGGGAGACTGGTCACGGAATAAAATCCCTAAAATCATAGGTGGAAATAAATCTTTTCTTAAGTCGATACCTCACGAGCTTATTCTAGACATAGAAATCTGGCTGGCCCAGACAGTGTTCTTATCAACTTCTCTAGCATGTACCTGCTGCGGCAGTACTTCCACCCTGTTCCCTTCGTGTAGCATCTCATGTGACTTTCAGGAATGCACCTCCTCATGATGATGCTGGGCTAGGTCAGGGGGTTAGAGTGCCTGAGTTACAGTGGACCAGACATTGATTGTGGCTTTCCTGTGCACTCAAAGATAGGTAGAAGAACAGGAGTCTCTGCCCTCCAGAAAACAGCAGTGTCTCTTCCTCCCAGTTACGGCAACCAACGGTAGTTCCCAGCCTCAGAGGTTAATTTGTTCAGCAAGCAGGAGGACCCAGAATCTACAAGGAAAAAAAAAAAAAAAAAAAAAAAAAACAAAAACCTGTCATGGTGGACATTTCTGAGTGCTGGGGAAGATCCCTGGGGCTCGTGGGGCAGCGACTTAGCCTAATTATCAAATCTCGGGTGTCTCTAAAAAAGAACCTGCACATACAGACACACATGAAGTTGTCCTCTGACCTTCAGAGCAGTGCCTCCACATACAGACACATGGACAGTGTCTTCAGACATTTCCCATGTTCTCCAGGGTACAAAGTCACTTGGAGTTGAAAACCACTGCCCTAGACGGTGGCAGTTGTCCTGGCTTGAACCACACCGGCCATGTAGAACACAGAGTATTCCCATGTCCCTGTTGTGTAGCACACCCCATCATACCCTCTCTTCGTTCCCTACCAAACGTTAGTGGATGGCTGTCTTGAAGCTTTCCTGATGTCTTACCAATGCAGGAAGACACTCACCTCCATACCTCTCATGGATTCTTCTTGGCTCTATCGGATTCTGGAAACCCTAAGAAGGAAACAGCAGGGCCTCAGAAGGAGCGGCAGCCTCAGCACTACTGTGGGCTGTATAGCGTCTTTGTTTTCGCCCTGTCGGTGGCTATGCTACCATCTTCCTCTATTCCATTCTGGCCCCAGGAACTTCCTCTCTTGCAGGCCAGGCCTCCATTAGTGCCGTCTGAGTTTACTGCAGAGTTCAGGCCTGCAGCGTTTGCTGCTGTGGGTACAGTCACTAGCAGGTGTCCTGCATCTCTCTGTGGAGTCCGACACTGAGCATAGCTTTATCTTTTATAGTTGCCAGCATAGGCACAGCACTGCTCACAAACTGGTAGTCCATAGTATTTGTTGTATGAATAAGTGAATGATGAATCTGGAAGACCCATTTTATTCTCCTACCATTGAGTCTAATGAAGTTTAACAGAAAATATTTTAATATAATCTGTACCTACACATTTTAAGTTGAAAAATGGAGATTTTTAAAAAGTATGACATTTTTATTTGTGTATGTGTGTCTGTGCTGTGATGTGTACATGACTATCAGAGGACAACTCCACCATCCATGTGGGTCCTAAGGTTTGAATTCAGATCGCCAGTCTTGGTGGCAGGAGCTTTTTCCAGTTTGCTGGCCTAGAATGTAGATTTTTCTTTTTTCTTTCTTTCTTTCTTTATTTTTTTTGGACATAAGAACACCCACCTGGAGTCCATTGTGGGCTCATCATCTGGTATGTAGGATTTGGCTCCTGTACCACTTGTCTTACCCTAGAAATCCAGCCACTAACTAGCATTTCTGTTTCTGTTGCAGCGCTCGTGGTAAGCACCACTTCGGCAGGCTTCGCGCTGGCCCCAGGCCCTTTTGACTGGCCCTGCTTCCTGCTTGCTTCCCTTGGGACAGGCCTCGCCTCCTGTGCTGCCAACTCCATCAATCAGGTCAGTACTCCCCTGAGCCAGGTGATGCTGTTGGCACTTGCTGGCTCTTTGTGCCTTTGTGCTTGAAGAACTCCCTGGATTCTGTGCCCTGTTGCAGAAGCATCCTGAACCCACAGAGGTGGCTTGTGGAGGTCTCTGCTTGGTTGTTGGTGTGTGTGTGTGTGTGTGTGTGTGTGTGTGTGTGTGTGTGTGTGTGTACTTGAAATGGACAGGATTCCTTAAGTTAAAAGCATTAAAAACTGCCAGAGCTTTGTGTTCTCTTTATTTTGGAAACATCATCCTTGAATTCATTCATGATGTTGATGTGTAGTTTTATTTCTTTTATTTGTCTAGTTTTTGTCAAGGGGAATTTGAACACACTCTACAGGGTCCTCCCCCCTTACTCCCAAGGGCTGGTATTATATCAATATGCCACCATGTACAACTTCTGCATTTTAAGCCACCACCATGCAAAATATGGTATTTTACATGTTTAGCTTTTGCTAGTTTGTTTTTAGGTGTGTATGTATGCATGTGGCTGTGTGCATGTGTGTACAGATATCTAGGGAAGGCAAAGGTGTCCCCTCCCTTGCACCTAGAGTTACAGGTGGTTGTACTCTCCCTAACCTGGGTACCAGCAGCTGAATTGAGGAGCTGAAAGCGCAAGCAGCACATGCTCTTAACTTCTGAGCAATACCTCCAGCTCCAGGATGTTTTAAAGGAACATATCCAGTTTAAAAAAAAATAGTTATAATAATAAAAACCAGTAGTTCAGCACTTCTGTCTACTTGGTATGTACAGCCAGGTTATATCATAGCATTAATAGCTAAGTATTATTTTTAATGGATCATTTTTCTTCTTGCTATTTTAAGCACCCAGATGGTTCTCTGAAATATTTTTTTCCTTTGCCTGGCCACTGTGTTGTGTCCCGATGCTGTGGTTTTTTCATAAGATGCTATACTGAAAAAGTCTTGGCTAAAACTTAAGGAAAATTGTCTCATCACCAGAACACCCAGGAGCAGTTGGCACAGTTTACAAATAGGAATCCAAGTTACCATCAGGAACCAGCTCGAATGTTCATAGGATGCCATATAGAAGAAGCTAGTCTGTAAACTATGGGGGTGTGATTGATTAGGCTTAGAATCATGTGCCTCCATAAAGTATTGTCCACTGTTTGGAGGATGTTATTTGTTTCAAATAGGGTTTCTTATTTGTGGTTGCTTTTGAGACAGAATCTTACTGTGTAGTCCTGCTGGCCTGGAACTCACTCTGTAGACCAAGCTAACCTCACAGAGATCTGCTTGTCTCTGCTTCCCAAGTGCTCAGACTAAAGGCATGTGACACTGCACATGCTGGCCTGTTGTTATTTTTAATGTCAAAACAATCTTATAGCAAGGCCAGCATTAGGGAGGATGAATAGTTCTTAAAAAAAAGGAGCAACAAAAATGCAGTCTGCAGTAAGGCTGAGTCACTTCAGCGTTTATGATACTTCCCATGAGTGGTCCACTTGGAGTCTATTCCTCCTTTGTGATCGTTACCTGTGTGTGTTAGCCGATCTCGGTCAGCAGGGTGGGCCCGGGCACCTGTCAGCCTCTAGCCTCCCGTTTGTCAAGTGTGAGCTACACATAGCACTGAGACTAATTATCGTCTACTGTTTAAATTGTATAAACTCAAAGAAAATGTTTACTATAAATGTGTGAGAGTTGAGAAAAAGTAATAAAAAGTATCGAATGATTTTTAAACTTCAGAATATTATAAAATATGAAAGTTGTGAGCCAGTGAGATTTTGGCTCGGTGGGTAGCGGTGCTGGCTGCCAATCCCGATTCACTGAGTTTGGTTTCTAAGATGCATGTGGTGGGAGGAAGGAACTCTCTCTCACACACACACACACATATACACGCACATGCAAACACACAAATAATTAAATAAAATGTAACTTTAAAAATGTTAATTTTACTGGGACCTATTTTCTCACCCACATTTCCCACCCCTTACCCTCCAAAACTGTTAGCTCAAGAACTGTTTTTTTTTGTGTGCGTGTATTGAATACACCTCTCTTAAGGGATGTGCTCAGACGTGCATGCACAGGTAAACGTGCACACGCTAACCCTTTCAGTAATTGAGAATAGCTTTCGTTGAGGCAGAATCTGGTAGGCAGTGAGCCCTGGCTACAGTGTTGGGAACTTTAAGGAACTGTGCGTGTTAGCTGCTCAGCTTCCAGGTCTAACCCTGCATATCTGCTGCGAGGGCTGGATTAGATTCTATAAGATCAAAAACATGGAGGAAAGCCACAGAATCCATGATGGGATTCTTTTGCTACCAGGCATTTGCAGTGTCTGCGCCTGTGGTGGTTTTTCCTCGTTTTCTTTTCCAGCCCTGCATCCCCCTCACATCACAACCCTCATTCCTGAGGCATTGTGTCACATTCTTCCCCATGTGTCACTGGCCCCCATTATCCCTCCTCAGTGCTGTGAGTGCTGTTTGCTTAGTGAGTACATGGAACAGAGGGGTTTCTTGTATCTGTCTGTTGTGAGTCTTCTTCCATTTGTCTGCGACCTAGTTGCATTTGGAACCATTGTAGTACTTTAAGAACTTTGTGGTGATTCTCAGAATAGTACATTCTCCTGTTTTGAGGGGTTTTGCCAGCTTCCCAAGCCATTTTTTTTTTCAGTAATGCAATATTAGTGTCTTGTCTGTGTTATTATTAGGCAATCTCATAAACTTAAAAAACAAAGGAGTACAGAGCCGTTTTACCAACAATCAAATTGTATGAACAGAACAAAGAACAAGCAGAGTAGACACCAAGGGAAGCTTGCTTATTTATTTATTTATTTATTTATCTGTTTATTTATGTATTTATTTAACTTGATGTGACTGTTTTGCCTGCATGTGTGTCTGTGCACCACATGCATGCCTGGTGCCTGCGGAGGTCAGAAGAGGGCATCTGACTTCCTGGAATGGAGGAGTGAGCTATCTGGTGGGTGATGGGAACCAAGCTGGGTCGTCTGCGGCCAGTGCTCTGAACTGTTAATCCATCTCTCTAGCCCCTGAGCTGGGTTTCTGACTAACAGTTAGGTTAAGATGTAAGTTTTTTGAAACTTAGTGTTCACATTGAAGAGTATGTCAGCTACTTTTAGGGGTCTATGGGAGGAAAAAATCCTGTCCATATTTATAGAAAGACTCAAATAACATCTTACATATATTTTTTATTTTTTATATAGTTTGTTTGAGCTGTTATTCATTTAGTCCTGTTTCTTCTTTGCATCCAGCTTCTGTGATCTGTGTGTGAAAGAAAAAAGTAAAGCTTTGAAAATCAGTTCTCCCATTTGTTTTAAGGAGAGAAAAGGAGATTCAGTTTCTGAGTGACAAGGCAGTGAACAGTGCTTAGGAGATATGTGCAAGAAACCACGGACACTGACATGTGAAAGCAAGGCACTAGGACGTTCTGTAATGTGTATACACATGCCATTCAAAACCCGAGTGTGGCTTTAAAGTGGGCACACCTTCAAACGGTGAAAGCAGTCCGTAAGTGTTTTCAATTTAAGAACTGAAAGATAAAGCACCGTGGAGGCCTTTGACTGGTCAGATCTCGAGAAATGACAAACATAGCCGAGTTGATTCAAGCAGAATGAATTAAGAATTTAAAAGGGAAAAATTGTCAGAAAAGTTAGAATCCAGTATTGAATGTAATAAGCTGTAATTAGGTTTATTTTACCTATAGTCTCCTCTAGGGTTTTCCTTTCTGCATTTCAGTTAGCCACAGTCAACTACTGGAAAATTCCACAAATAAACAATTCATAAATTTTAAATAACTCAGCACATGTTGTTCTAATTTTTTGTTTTATTACTGCTGATGCTATTCTTTTGCTGTACCTAGTTGGTTAATACAAGCTTTAACCCAAGTATGTACGCCTGGGAATAAATACCATACATTCAGGGTTCTGTTGAATTCTAAAGCCTCCAGTAAGAGCTTGGAGTATATTTCCTGCAGATCGGAGTGGGGAGGGTCTGTACATGGCTTTTTAGGAGGGGTTGTGTTGATAAAGGTGCATGTCAGTGAGTTTATTTCTATATCTAAGCTACTAGCGATACCATGGTATGGTGCGTCATGCCTCAGCTTCCACAGCCCATCAGTGCTGTTTGCTGCTTATGTCACCCTGCTCATGGTCGTCTTTAAAGGACAGGTTTCTAGAAACAGAATGGCTGTTAGGGAAGGCCACCAGCCAAAGCGCAGTTAAAATGTTAATGTCGGGATTATGCTCTTGAAATAATCTCTTACATTCATGGAGTGCTGGACAGCCCTTTGGGGTGGGGGCATGATTTCCCCTTCTACTTGTAAAACATTTTGTTTTGCTGTTGATTTCTTTTTTAAAGGCAGAAGTTACGTTTTTTTCTCATGAAATGTTCCATTGAGAATCAGTGACAAATATATAAGCAAAAGTAACAATTTTTTAATATAATGCATATGATCCACATGTATTTTTCTTATGAACAAAAGCCTTTCTAAGAATATACCATGAACAGTCTCCACATGGGGCATGATAGAGAGTGACTGCTGCCTGGGGTGTGCTCGGATTTACTTAATCAGTTTCTCGTTATCTTGTGTTTAAGAGACTTGTAATTAATTGTTTTTGTTCAGTTGCTGAACCGTAGTGTCCCCTACACACCCGTTTTTAGGACAGGGCTTCACTCTGCAACCCTGGCTGTCTTGGAACTTCTTGTGTGGATCAGGCTGTCTTCCTCTGCTCTGAGAATGCTGGAACCACGGGCGTGCGCCACCCCTGCCCTAAAATTCTTGCATCTGAATCTTGCACACTTCCTTGCTTCGGCTGTTAGGTTTGTAAAAGTGATTTGTTGTGTTCAAAGATTTGTTTCCTTTTAAATAAAAGACTAAAATAAAATATTCCTATCTTACACCAGGGTAGGCGTCTTCCCCGGAGTCCTTGGTTTGAGTGAACTTACCTTGTTGGTAATGCCTGCGCTGCTCACAGCCACAGCAAACATGTGGAGGGCCAAGCTC